CTTTCAACGTGATGCCAAATAAATAAATATTGACGTTACTCCTCTCGAAAATGCTGGTTATGAACAAATCTTCGCTCCATGCGGGACTCGAACTCGCACCACTCTTTACCAGCTGGCTCCTTGGCATCCTCAATGGACCGCGGGGCTAAAAGCCTAGCAGCTGTTTAATTTCCTGTGAAACTTGATAAAGCCATTTGCGGCGTCAAAACGGCAGTCACCTAGCAAGAAGAAAAAACCGAATTAGATACTTTTCCCACCTGAATGCCTGATCGGTTTAGGCGCTAGCTATTCGCTAGCGAATCGCTCGATTCGCAGACTATGACATCTGCCTCAGAGCTAACGAATAATCTGTGTTTCGAACACGAAAGGCTTCTCGGTGGTAGTCGCTAGCAAAGTCGCTTTTCTGGAACAACTTTACGCTGTCGGCAACAGGATCTTTCATGATAAACTGAATGGTAGTACTTCGATGCTCTCGAAATATTTTAAGATCTAAATTCTGGACCTTTATAAGCAAACTACAGAACAAATTTCATGGTGTTGCGAAATATCTGTAAAATTAATGTTTTTTCAGAACGTTATTCTCTCACCTAGCCTGCCGGATGATGTCGAAATAACTTCTATGTCGATTATGCACGATGGTTCCTTGGCAGTACTCTCGTCTGCTGATTCCCTCTTCATTGTGCGCATTTCCGCTGATTTATGGGTCCTAAGAGCGGACGGCAACGTTCCGCATAGACAATACGTTTGCGAGTTAGTGTTCAGGTTTAAATGAAATCTCCTTTGGTTTGCTCACTAACCCATTATTGAACGCTTTGCAGAGTACAAGAAGTTCATCCGACGCTTTTCGAATCACCGAGACCACCAAAGGTGCTCCGGGTCAGGTGGATTCTTACGGATTCTATGAATTCCTCGCTACACTTGTTAGCAGTTCTCTTCGATGATAACCGCATAAGGTAACACTAACGTTTTTATTGTCAGCTTTTCTATACGATTGCTGTGACTACTTCATGGTGTTCAGAATATACCAGGCTGATAATATATGTGATGTTCCTCTTGCGACAATAGAATATGCTTCATTCATGTGTGCAAGTGATCGCACTTGGAACGGGTATGGGTCCAACAGCTACGGTTTCTTCAAATCAATAGGTCAGTTCGCTAGGATTCGTCGCTATAGCTCTGATTACCATCTTACCATTAGGCTGCTTTCATAGTTTGCGACCGCGATTTACGCGATTCACGCGACGGGTCACGGAAATCACAAGTGCCCGATCAATACTGCAAGGTGTTCTCCAATCCTGCCGCCACTTCTGCTTGATGGTGATGGCTGAATGACGACTGCTCATGATTCCACTTGTTTCATATTCAGTGTTTCAAATGTTCAAATGGGCACTTGCAATTTTGCGATCCGCGCGAATCGCGCGAAACCTGCGACGGATCGCGGGCTCTGACACAAGTCTAGAATAATACTTCCACCCTTCATTTCTCCACTAGTATAAGGCCGCTGCTTATTGGTACACTCACAGCTGCTTTGCAAAATGCTGTTGTCATGTTTCGTATTTGAGGAATTACTCGTGCAAATACTATAAGCGCATGAAAACTAGAAAGAGGGGAGGTAGTGGGGATCCGGTGCATGACGTAACCCCTATTAAGCTTGCTTCTTTGCAATTTGTGAGCATGTCGTGATACTCCTGTAATAAATTTTCATAGTGTACATTCGACGACTGTATTGTTGAACCCGATGAAGCTCCAGTTGTGATCGCAATTGATTCCGAAGGAGAAATGTATTCGACAGTGATCAGTCTCAGTGGTAAGTGTTGATTCCTTTTTTTCTTTGGTTCGCTCTGTTCCATCCGATCGGCCTTTTGGTTCCATTTTGCGATTGATTCTTAGAATTGGGGATTGTGTAATGCGGTGCTGGTCTTGCAAGCACTTCGAGCGCTCAAATAAAGGTCTATAAAACCACAGTTTAATTGCATGAAATCTTTTTCATTCCGTTCAACTGTATTTCAAAAAATCGTTTGAGCGAGGCGGTACTCATATTATTTTAACAAATGCAACGGTAAAGTAATGAAAAGGACTGTGCGTACAGTTTGCGACCATGCAGGAAATTGCTTCATGTTAGCTACACATATTCCAGAATTACTCGTCCTATTGAGTGATCCAAGTAGTTATCATATCCTTTGTTGAGTGCTATGTGTACAGATTTTCGGATTTTACTGGCTTTCTGAACCACCAGTGCCTTGCAGGTAGTTCACCCGCTCTGACGCGTCCTCTCATCCCTCCATCAAATTTGCCGTGTGATCCTATCGATATCAGGCTTGTCGATCATCCACATTAGTGATGTGAGTTCCTTTGCTGTGACCTCTTTCGTTCCGATTATCAACCTTTCTAGATTTTCTCGGTTTTCGCAGTTTTATCTGCCAGCAATACAATCTGCTTTATGGTAGCCGTACCAGATGAAAATGCAAGCTATAGGTGAAGATTTCTCATCTCACATCGTGTAAGTAATGTGATATTGAGGGAATTCGTTTCTTAGCCTCTTCCTTCACGAACAACTGCAGTTACCCAAAAGTAATTCATGGAGTTTGTGTACCGGTAGTTTTGAGTCTGCTATCCTTGTTGCAAGTGAATCCAAAGTACTCCATATGGATCTCTCTTCTTGGCTTGAGGACTATGCGGAGACATTAATGGGTTGAGTGAGTGTCGCATATTATTTCTTCATGCTAAAAATTCTATGATATTTGGATCTTTTTAGTGCTGGTATGGGTCCGTCCTCAACGATGAAAAGCACCATTGCACATGAATTAATTTCTACATCTCACTACAAATGGTGACGCAATTTACCGTCTTCTTTTTTGCCTTGCTCAAGAACGTGCTGTGGGCGTTATCTGTAAATCGACAAATCATCGGGCAAGTACGACAATGTTCATCGCATGCACTGAGGACCCACCATTGGCAACTGCATTTCTGAAGTGAGCTCATCGTATTTGTGTTTAAGTACTTTTTCAGTTGGTAGTGCTCGAAGCCTTCGTGCTGTTCATGCTGTAATAACATTTGCAGGCAAAAAATTATGGACTCACAATCATCCGATTCTGAACCTTCGTCGATTCCTAAGGAAATGCACCCAAATTTGAACGAGAAAGTATTGAATACTATACTATCTAGACGGGAGATGCCTTCCTCCAATTTCGTAAGCAATTTCCTATATTGTATTGATTCATTCTTGTTCTCCAGGCAGCTTGCTATATCGACCAATGCATTTTGGAACGTTTGCATCGTTCTCTCACAGAATGTCACCCTATCACTTAAATGCATTGTTTTTCTATGATTCTCAGAAGGATAGGCTCTCACTCATTCTAATTCAGCAGGCTTTAATTCCATATCGCTTCATTTCAGAAAGGCCCCCTCACAGGAACAGCAGTTGAAAAACATCGCCAACTTCTTCGACTCTGCTCAAAGGAATCAAATTGTTCTAAGAGCCGCTCTGGATATGAGTCAAGACAGGTAGCTCTGCCTTTTTTTACTGATGGCACTGTCTACTACTTTTTTGCTGTTTATTTTATTTTGTGTTGTATGTCTCGCTTGATTGACCGAAAGACTACCAGATTTCTCAGATGTGATGGCTTAATAGACGGCAGAGCATTCAACCTTTTTCGAATTTACTTTGTTGTAATCTAAGTCACTATGTTTTCAGGCTCAGCGTTTTGATGAATTTTGCGACTCAGCTGACAGAGAGGCAAAACATCCTAAATCAGCGGCTATTACAGGTTTGTATTCGCCATGGTTTGTGCTCTCTCATCATAAGTCATCTTGATCCTTCCACTCAAACGCCACTTTCTTCTTTCTGCAGAGTAAAACTTCACCAAACGATTCTGTCTCTTCTTCTAGTCTTGTGTAACTTCATTACCTTAATTCTGCTCTTTAATTGGCTCGAGCACAATTTTGGAAATCTTGATTGAGGTGTGATAATCCTCTGATCCTACAGTATCCCTTTTAAGGTATTTCGTCAGAATGTTGCCATCAAGGAAAATAATGAGCGACTACGTTCAGAAGTGATGAAAACGTTGTCGCGGGCTGATCGGGTATGTTTCATTCCTAAATTTTATTTTAGCTTTATCATAGTCTTTTTTACTGGAGTTTTGATTGAAGGTAATGCGCAATTGTGCCTTAAGGCTTGCTCATGATAATTGCGTTAATACAGCGATAGCTAAAGCGCTCCTTCTTGCTTGTACATAAGGAGTGTTTCGAAACAGAGAGCGAACAATAAGGACACGCCGCGTCGCCTTCCCTCGAAGATCGACTACGAAAGGCCCCACCAAGCCCTGTACAAAAAATACTTGGTCTATTCGTATTTTGAATTTCAGGTTTCTTCACGTTTGAAGGATAATCAGAAACTGACTGCGGAGGAAGCCAAACTGTTTGCGAAATTGAAGGAATGTCGTGCGAAGATGCTGACAAATTCAATGAAAGTTTCCAAGGTATGTCGTTCCTGCGTAACAAAATCGCTAGCGGTCAGCTATTCGGAACACTTTCATTCCATTCGCCCTGTAATTTAATAATGATGTTAGGGTGTGCTTTCTGCAACTGCACTGAACTTGAAGAATGGTTTTTCTTTTTTTCTCGAAATACACTTACTGTTGGTAATACTGTGAAGGAGACAAACCAGCTCGCATAAAATCGCTAACTTCTGCGGATTTCGCTGAATGCGGTGATTGCTTGGAGACGAGCATATTTTACAAGTGAAGCAAAGGTGGAGGCGAAAACTTGTGTACACAGTAGTTTGAATTTTGAATAACAAATTAATTTTGGCTTTGGACAATTCTCCATCTTCGTAACATTTCGTAACTTTGATTGGTTCCTTACTGGGAGCGTTTATGGTGAAATCTTAGCATTCCCAACATTCAGCACTGAACATTCGTGACATGATAATATGTGAGTGCCTTTGCAGCTTTCGTTAGAAGCAGCTCAGCTCCAACGAGAAGCTCGTGGTCCAGCACGGCCCTTCACTGCTTCAGCAGGAGCTAATTTATTCGTGTTACAGCATAGGTAAGATGTTCATATTACCTTAATTCTTGTTTATGCCGATATTTAATATTATAGGGTGCGCTTTAAATATTGTGAAAAAGTACTATGGCATAGAAACTTTGTTTTGATGAAACACAATGAAAAACTGCAGATATATTATGTGTTCGAGTTTGTGGAGAAGTTGAACGTCTAGAACACCTTTTGTTTGCCACCAAGGCTCACGAAATTGAGGGCGTTAAGGTCATTTCTCGTTGTCCTTTGTCCTTTTCTGAGACGATTGGGGTTGCAATCTATTTTGCTTGCTGAACAGCGCCTACTCATGTCCCTAAAAATGTCATG